GGATGATCTCAGAATAGAAAATGATTTTACTGAGGTATATTACTCTCTTAATTGATTTAAAAGAACTGTTCAGAAAGAAAATTACAATTTACAAAAATAAGTGCTCCTGAAATTAAGACTTTTGCCCCAATTCCCCAATAGGCATGAGAGGTTTGGAGTGGTAAGCACCAGCCTTGTTGATTATTATAGTTGTCGAATGACAATATAACTTAGGTAGAAAAAAGTACAAAAAGCAAGAAAAACACTGCTGAAACTAGCCCTTTTGGTGCTCCAAGCTCGTTGGGGTTCCTGTGTTGTACACACTGCACGGGCTATGCAGATACACAAAGTATATTATTTGTTGATAATAATGTCGGTTTAAAAGTAATTTTAAAAAATGGTGGATGGCCATAAAACAGCTGAAAAACAAAATGGCATTTGCCACAACAGGACACAAAAAACCCAGTCAAGGTTTTGGCGGTAAGAAGTTGTGCTCTATGGTACATGAATTTAAGTACAGTACTAGACAGGTGGCAAGGTCTTATCATTTTAAATTTCTATCATATCTACATCTAATCATAAATTCTATGCTAATACTTTCTTCTTTCACACTTTTTGCTTGTGGAGCTCTTTTCTACTTTCTTGCAAGCTTTGATCTTCAAAAGCTTAAATGCAATAGCAATCATTATCTGATGTCTTAATTACTGTTCTTCTATTGTTCGCTCTCCTTCATAACGTTTTCTTTCCCATATTCTCTCACACTAAGTAACCCTTTGTATCTTAGTGGCTTTATTGGCTTGCATGAGATGACATGATTAAAAAAAAAAAGAAAAAAAAAGTAGTTTCTCTGCCTTTTCTATGGTTTTGAATTCAGTGTCGTCTTTTTCTAGGCCAACTAACACCTTAGACCCAGTTTACCCATCTATTTAACCTATATTTGGGGGTCATAGAGAAAAAAATGGAGTCGTACATTTGCCAAGGATATTAGTGAAATTGAGAAAAAAAAAAAAAACTTCAGAACTTTGCTTGATGATTCCATTTTTTCCAGAGGTAACCATTATTTTTTTCTATATACCAAAACCTCCCAGCTCCAATTGGTTACAGTGTTTTCCTTGCTTCAGTCAACTGAGATAATTACTTAATTGCAAACCAAAGTCGACATTTTAAAACAATACTCTATTAGATACAGAAGGATGCTAAAAATACCATAGACTGAACATGTGAGCAACGACAAAGTTTTAGAAAAAATGCAAATGAAAAGAACACTGAAACTTAGAAATAGGCAAGTGATTTTTCTAGGGAACAGAATGAGGAAAGAAGGCTTGGAAAATTTAACACTTTCAAGACATACTGAAAGCAGAGAAAAACCTACTTAATGCGCTTGTGTAAATGGTTGGCAGAACACAGATTATGAAAGATAGCAAAAAAAAAAAACAACTCTTACTTAGAGCAGGAAAGAACAGGAAGTTGTGGAGAGGTACGATCGTCCAAGTTCTGAAGGGACATAGAACATAGAAGAAATACAAAAAGTTGATAATATAATCACTCAGTATTAAAATCCCATCAAAAGAATGGGTGTGGGTATTTTTTTTTTCTTTCATGGCTATGGCTGAATAAATATTTTCAAAATCAAATGGACCAAATAAAGATAGATTTCCATAATAAAGAGAGAAAATGATTCTTAAAAATCTTTTTCCTGTCTTTAACTGGTGAAGCAGGAAAAGCTGGAAATAAAAATGGACATTATCATTAACACAGTATAAAGCTCTAAGAGATTCTCCAAACAATGGAAATCTCAATCATTTCACGAATATCAGCTCTTTCCTCATCATTTCACTTCTAGAATAAAATTGTCAATGGTCTTAATGAGTGTACAAGTATAGTCGTCGGGTGGAGGGGGGTATAAGGAGTTAGATTAGGTTCAGTAGTTTTGTCAAGCAGATGATTACCTGTCATTTTATTTGCTCTGTTTATTTGATAAATGCTGACCAACCTTCTTGGCCTCCCATTCACACCACCATCACTATTATTATGATAATCTTGATCTTTACGGTCATTATTACCATTATATCTTTATATTCATTTTTAGCCCCTTAAAGGTTTTCTTTTCTTCTGCATTTTACAATCACTTTTTTTACTTCTTTTTCTTTTTCTTCTTTCTTTTTTCTTTCTTTTAACCTTTGATTATTCTCCCCCTCCAGTAAAGTTTTTTTTTTTTTTTTCAGTCTTTTCTTGTTGTTATTGTCATTCTCATTAGAATCTCTTTCTCTCTTATGTTCTTTTACTTCATGATCTTCAATTTATTTCCTCCTTGTCATAATTTTTCTATCCCTTCAATTATTATTATTATTATTATTATTGTCATCATTATTATTATTGTTTTCAAATTTGCATTAATATTATTATTCTCATTATTATATTTCACATATTCTCATATTTGCATCTTTATTATTATTATTCTCTATGTATCATTATTTTCATATTTGCATTCTTGAGTTGACCAAAAAGTTGGTTCAGTTTAAGTAAATTTTCTACTTAATAATTTTTTCTAAACAAACTTTTTGGTTGGCATTCTTGAAGATGAAAAAAAAACAACTCTTACTTGAGCAGGAAAGAACGGAATTTTTCCCAATATTATTATTATTATTATTATTATTATTATTCCCCATATTATTCTCAGATGGTCTTCAAAAAAATTATTATTCTTTATTATTCTCAGACTTTTCCCCTTTCTTTACCACCAGCACCAACAAGGATTTCTTTATTCTTTCTCTATTTTTATTTTCTCGTTCTTTTTTTTTTTTTTCTCTCTCTGCTCTGATTATTACATGACTTCTTTGTTTTTCTTTTTGCTTCTTTTTTTTGGTTCTTTCTTTGTTTCTTTCTATCTATCCTGACACAGATTGCTTATAGCACTCAATTTTCTGAAGTGAATTTTATCTCTGTATTTACAAGGAACAATTTTTCTCTTGTTCTTTTTGTAAATTTACTCCAAAAAAAATTTCTAATTAGATTTCTTTTATTATTCTGAATATCCTATTGACTTTCTCTATTTTTTCTGTTGAATTATCAATATTTTATTTTAGATTAATATATAAAGAGCAAATTCATAATTTAATAATACATAAAATTACTTGTATATATGAATTACATGGCAACAAAAAATATACTTTATTTCAAATGTTATATTTAACATAACAAAAATATATAAACACATGACAGTCCTTATTTATTTATAACTGAACCTTAGGGTAAATATTGTTTTAAAATCCTTTCACTTTAAGCTAGATGATAAATCCACTAAGACACATGGGGTTACTGAGAGTGAAAGAAACTGATAAAATGTTATGAAGGAGAAAGAACAATAAAAATAGTGAAATTCAAGGAAACAAAAAATGGCAATTAACATTGTTTAAATTTTTGAAGACCATAGTTGACAGGAAAGTAAGAATCTGGAAGAAAGTTTCTCAGATGAGAAGTACAAGAGAAGAAACTAAGAAAATAACTTAGTTACTTAGCAATTTCAACAGTAAAATGATGAGACTTAGCTGCCAATCTAGTACAGGGTGCAGCAGAAATCCCTCCCACATAATCCTTCCAGAAATACTTCTCACATAATGGTAATTCTAAATGAAGACACTGTTGCAATTAATGTCTTACCATTATATAGGAAGAATTTCTGCTGCATTATACTTAAATTCATGAAGTCAAGATACCAGATTTTTCCCCTTGTTCTTTTTCTATTAGTTTACTTGGCTTTCTTTTTTCATTTTCATTATTTGCATATTGGCAAAAAAACGTTTCTGGTGGCCATGACTTGGAATCTAATGACAGCTTATCTCTACCAATCTCCTTTGATTTTAACCCTTGTCTGCATCATCTCAATTTTTAAGAGAACTAAACAAAGTTTTAAGTCCTAGGAAAATATTGTTAGAAACATAGGCAAGAGTGTTGAATTGCAGTGTAAACAGAAGACTTTAATGTATGACCATTTCAAAGAGTAAACACCTAAGATGGAAGCTACAAATTTGAGAACTCAGAATCAAGCATAGTAGATGATAGAATCGAAAGGTGCATCGAGATGGCAAAAGATGCCTTCCAAAAGCTAATAACAGGAAAATTTTGTTGCTAAGAAAAGAGTGTCAGACAGATATATATTTTCAATCCTCTTATATCAGAGATGGCAAACTACTGACCCACAAGTCATTAACTGACCAACAATCAACTTTTTAGAGACCCACAAAGATTCGGTGAAATGATATGAAATATGACTCAGCCATTCAAATTTAGAGATTTTATTTGCACCTTGTGTCTATCTAAACACATCTAGATGATACTCAGCCAGTTTTATAATGTCTTGTACAGTTGTATAAGAAGGATTTGTCTCCTATTTTTAGTGTCTGCTTAGATAATTTGAAACTTGTGACTATTCTCAATTCCTTTGTGCTAGCTCCTTTATAGTTCTCGAATTAAAACATTAGTTTGTAACATACAATAAAAAGTTTCTTGTTAATAAATATTGGTAAGTATATGAGTGACCCATTTATGCTCATGAAATATTTTAAAGTACCAAAAATGACTAAACTGTAAAGGTTCTTCATCTCTGTCGTAGATGATAGTGAATACTAGACAATTTCTTTACATATAAAGAGAGGACTTAAAGCAACAGATGTGGTTCTACAGAAGGATGCTGAGAATAATGGACAGAACATATGAGCAAAAAGTAAGTTTGAAAGAACATAAAAACTACAAAGATAGATAAAACCAGAAAGTGATAACTGAAATTTCTGAGACAAATAATTGGCCAGAAAAGCCGGGGAAATGGTAAGTAAATTACTTAATGAGTTTGAGTAAATGGATAGTAGGACAATGACTAAGTGGGATGGTACAGAGTTTAAAGTTATTTATAGCAGTAAAAGATGGGAAGTTGTGGAGAGCCATGATTTCCCTGAATGGACTGAGCAGAAAAAATGGTGAAGAAGCATTGTTTCAATCTCTTATTATTTACAGTTCATATCTTCATGATCCTTTCTACATTGCATTATAACATTTTCTGTCTTGTTTTATTCTCTGATGCTCTTTATGCATTTTTCTTCAGACATCACTTTTATCTTTTGATTAATATTATTCCCTCCTTCTTCTTCTTCTTCTTCTGTTCCCTTCTTCCTCTTCTTCTTCTATTCCGTTTGTCTTCCTCTTCTATTCCCTTCTTCTTTATCTTCTATTCCTTTCCTTTTCTTCTTCTTCTTCTTCTTCTTCTTCTATTCCCTTCTTCTTCTTCTATTCCCTTCTTCTTCTTCTATTCCCTTCTTCTTCTTCTATTCCTTTCTTCTTCTTTTTCTTCTTCTTCTTCTTCTTTTTCTTCTTCTTCTATTCCTTTCTTCTTCTTCTTCTATTCCTTTCTTCTTCTTTTTCTTCTTCTTCTTCTTCTTCTTCTTTCTTCTTCTTCTTCTATTCCTTTCTTCTTTTTCTTCTTCTTCTTTTTCTTCTTCTTCTATTCCTTTCTTCTTCTTCTATTCCTTCTTCTTCTTCTATTCCTTCTTCTTCTTCTTTTTCTTCTTCTATTCCCTTCTATTCCCTTCTTCTTTTTCTTCTTCTTTTTCTTCTTTTTCTTCTTCTTCTTTTTCTTCTTCTTCTATTCCTTTCTTCTTCTTCGTCTTCTTCTATTCCCTTCTACTCTCTTCTTCTTCTTCTTCTTCTTCTATTCTCTTCTATTTTCTTCCTCTTCTTCTATTCCCTTCTACTCTCTTCTTCTTCTTCTATTCCCTTCTTCTTCTATTTTCTTTTCTTCTTCTTCTATTCCCTTTTTCTTCTATTCCTTTCTTCTTCTTTCTGGTGTTCCTTTCTTGCACCTTTCCCTTTCTTTTTGTCTTGTCCTTTATTCCTTGTTTCGCTGTCAGACGAGCAAGGAGAAAAATAACACAAGTTCTCCTTCGGCCAACTAAAATCCTTTACCCTCCAGCCAATGATACAGATAAGCACCCAGCAATCTGATTTTAAAATAAAAGCAAATTATTCCATCATCTCATTGCATTGGAAACAGAAAAATGCCTTTCCAATTACCTCTTTGTTTCGACTGAAAAACATATGCATGGCTCCATCCAACCTCCCACTAATGCACACTCTTGAAGCTTCTTTCTTTGGATGAAAAGGATAAACAATGATGGGGACAAAGTCTTGAGGTCTTTGATTGAATGGCACCAGAAAAGCCATGTCAACTGAGTCATGTAACTGAAAAACATCATTTCACTTTCTGATGGATATCATCTTACCTTGAAATTATCAACCAGAAATCTTTGATTCCAGAGAAGCACTGCGTAGGGAGCTGTAGAATAAATACTCTGCTGTCTTCAGGACACGTTTGTTCTTTGTCTAATACAAATATTATTGATGTTAATCTTTCTTTGTTCATTTTAAAATATCATCCAGTGTGTATACTGGAGTGTGTTGGATATAATAATGAATCACATGTTTATTGGTTGAAGATTTTAATTAAGAAACAAGATAAATGGACTTTGGTAGCATTTCAATAGTTGTTTTATATAATGTAAAATTATGTAAACCTAGTGGGCAAAATGGTTGCTTTCCAACCATATGGCCCCAGGTTCAAATCTCACCAGGTTCAATTTTTCAAGACGTAACTATGTTATTGGCCTGGGGAAGTGATCCCAGCATGTGCCTCCTCTGAAAATCAAACCACAATTTGACCCAAGCCTTGTGAGTGAAATTGGGTAGATGGAACTATTTTAGTGTCATTAATGGTTGTGCTAGGATGAAGTCACAAGTCATAGTGACTGAGGGTTTAAGCATACTGGCCATGTTCAGACTGTTGATCTCACCAGATAATGCACTCTCTTCCAGAAATATCAGTTTATCCCTCTTTGTTTCTAATGAAATTTTCCTATTTTTTAATACTTTGCTTAGATTTTGGAGGCTAAGGAAAGAAGTAACATTTGATGTTACAATGGGAAGTTTTGTTGGTGAAAAAACAAGCTTATAGTCATACAGTTATTAAATGAAAGAAGCAAAATAAGACCTTACATCCATTGTCAAGAAGAAAGTTGAAATGGTATGGCCACGTCATAGATGCCAATAATTGTTCCATTGGCAGCCAGCAAGGTAATACCATATGCAAAAGAAGAGGTCAAAGAGGAGAAAATGTTCTGACAATGTCACCAAGTTAACTGGAAGATCCTTTACAAAAACTCAGACATTGGTATACAACTGAAACATGCCGAGGGGTAGACTGTTTGTGTTCTGCTGACTGATAGCTTGTCTACCTTATTTAATACAACTCGGTTATTGCTTATACAGTTTCCACAGAGTCCAAGTATCTTTTCTTTTTATGTGCTTTCAGGATGTAGGTGATCATGACTTTCCACCTCCCTCTATCCCTTGCAGCTCTCAGCAAGCTCCTTCCCTCTGCTTCCTCCCCCAGACCATGTTCTGTCATCCACCTGCTCAAGCTCGTCAGGTATGTCACATGCTAGTTTCCCTTGTCTCTCTTTCTCTCTATTTGACCCGTGAGTATCAGATTCTCCAGGCCCTCCTTCCTCATTATGTATCCCAGAAACTTCAGCTACCTCTTTCTGATGTTAAGTATAAGCTTTCTCCTTGTTTGTAACCTCTCTAAGACCTCATCGTTGCTCACATGCTTGGTCCATGATATCTTTAGCATCCTTCTGTAGAACCACATCTCTGTTGACTCGAGTCTCTTCTTCATCTTTGAGGAAACTGTCCAACATTCACTGCCTTAAAGAAGAACAGATGTCATGTAACAGCAATGTATTCTTTTCTTTATTACCAAAGAAATCCTCCTGTTTTGCAATATGCTGCCCAGCTTTTGGAATGTCCTTGGCCATCCCAATACGTCTACAGATCTCAGTGTCACAGTCACCATCTTCTGTCAAGACACTTCCTAGATATTTAAACTTCTGCATCTGCTTGATTCTAGTGTTCCTGCATTGTGAGTTCAATTGCTTCTCCTGGCAGAGTTGGACCCTGTGAAAATGACGCAAGCAATAACTGAGTGCTACTAAGAATAATCAACCCTTGTAGATTAAATAAAGGGCTCGATATGAAATTCTCTTAAGGTTACCCAGATCAACAAGCACCTAGTAAAGGCTGGATGGCACATAAGCCAAAACATTGTGATAATAATGTTGGTCTGTATCTGTGGAACTTATCAAAATTTGTAAATATACAGCATAGGACTGATCTATTTTGTTTTTTTCAAATAGTTTGTCAAGTTCTTCTAATAAATAATTGACACCATTGTCATTATTCAAATTTTCATGGTTCATTTCCATGGTCACATTTCAAGGTTTTCTATGAAGTAAGAGCGCTAATATCAGTGACCCTCTTCTTTTTGTCTAGGCCAGTTGTTAATTTGTTATGTAGTGGTTTCACAGTGGAGATTTGTATCTGTACTAAGTCGGTCCTAAAATAGGTTCAACGTACAAAACGTTAGGAACTTGATATAATAGGTAATGACGCAGTAATCTAGTTGTGGTGGCTGATACTTTAATATCCGACAAACGGTCGTCCGACATCAACTGAATGACCCACTCCCTGAGCGACTGCTACTACTACTCCTACTTATTATAGGTGGGAGAGTCTATTAACTATAGAATAGGTGTGTTCCACTATAACATAATTGCCACATCTTGACTTTTGTTTTCCAATGGTTGTAGAATTTCTCATCATCAAAAGTTGGTGGATTTTTATAATTTACTGATAATATTTTTTTGTTGCTCCTGAGCGATGCTTCTGCGACCAATGTTGATCTAATCTGATATAACTTCACCAGGCAAATAGATCTACAATATTTACAAGGGCGTCCATGTCACAACTGGATGTAACATCAATACTGTGGGAAAAATTCCCACGCCAACTCAGTACTTCCCCTTTTGGGGACTCCTCAAACACTAGGGAATAAACACAGTCCCCTACTGAAGAAGAGATGCTGCCTGGTGGGAAATCCCCTTGGGGCTTGGATTAAAATCAAAAGATAATTCCAAGCCAAAGGTAAATAGATTTTAGGAATTTTTCGGCCTGTACACCTCACAACCAGATGTGACACAGAGCCAGTTTAAGGTAGATTTCTCAGTAATACCATAGAAAATTCCCAAGCCCTCTCAGCACTTCCTCTTTTTGGGACACTGGGCAATAATCTCAGCCCCCTCCTGGGAGAGAGGCACAGCCTGGGGGTTGGCCTCCTGTGTCTTGGGTTAAAATATAAATCCCAGCCAAATGCAAATGGATTTTATAGATATTTACTGGTGCTCCCACCATGCAACAGATGATGTAACAGAAGGTCAGTTTTAAGGTGGGTCTTGTCAGCAGTATCGTAGAAAAATTTGCAAACTCACTTGACCCTTCCCCTTTTGGGAACATCTCAGGCACTGGGCAATAGACTCAGAGAAGTATAGCCTGGGGGGTTGGCCCCCTGGGACTTGGGTTAAAATATAAATCCAAAGCCAAACCAATCGAATTTTTTTTTATCTCCACAGTAGAAAACTATGAGTTTATATAGAACTAATGGGCAGAACCCATTTCAATTGCAGGTGGAACAGGTCAACTTATTAAAACACAAGTTTACCTTATCTAAAGGTTGTCAGTGAAATACTTGTGCTGGGTATTAAATGCACATTTGAACTATTTAACAACAAATAACAACAAAAATGTATACAGTATGTAAATAATGACAATTCTTCACCCCCAAAATTGTGTCAGTTTGTGTATATATATATATATATATATATATATATATATATAATATGTGTAACCATGGGCCCTGTATTATGACACAAACTTTATATTCTTGCATGTGGTGTCAGAGATTAGGTCAGTGTTTATATATTTATCTGTCGTACAGTTTTTCATGTGCATGCCTATACTGTCATTTCCCAGGTCAATTCTGCACCTCGTTTTCAGAAAGACACTAAGTGTAAAACCTATTCTGGCATTATCTGTGGTAAGAGACATACTACACAAACAATTATTCATAAAAATTCTGCTTGACCCTCCTTTAGTTCCATAGAACACAAGTATGTTATGCCCTGCTAATACCTCATAAGTAATGGACTATTTTGTTTTGATCATGTGGAAAGATGGAAAAGACATATGAGAGATTCTGTTTGGTTTCAGTGAGAAGAAAGAAGGAATTAAAATACATACATACTTTCTGTTTATACATTATTTTTATAGATACAATTTGAGTAAATGGTCTGTTTTTAATTAGACAGTATTAATTACATTTACTGGCCTGAATGTTCAAGAAATTTAGTAGAAAATATGCATTCTCCGACAGGAATCGAACCTGTATTCCTATATGGAAACAGTCATTTGATCTGACATGCTATATCATTTAGATACAAAGAAGTGTTTGGTTAGCAAAGTCTAAATTACTGTTCAGAAACACACAATCTTTGATGATTTTTCTCGATCGATCATATCTTCTCATGAAACGTATCTTAACATAAACAATGACAACATATAATGAAATGGATTAAGTCGAACAATTGTTTAATATAATTTGTTTATTTCTTGTGTATTCAGGCCAGTAAATATAATTAATACTGTTTAAATAAAAACAGAGCATTTACTTAAATAAATTGTATCTTTAAATATAAGGTATAAACAGAAAATATATTAAATAATTGTTGGATTAATCCATTTCATTATATACATATATTTTCTTAAAGGCTGTTTCAATTAAATAGAAAAAGTTGTCAATTTCAAATCTTTTTATTTGTACCCTCTTACATCTTTAAATAATGACTGGCATTAATATTTATGATTTCTATTGCAACATTTTGTAAAAGTTGGTAGGCTCAAATAATTAACAATGTGATAGGGGAATTTGTACAGATATTTTATGATTGCAGAACTTGCTATGTGCTTATTCAATCATTAACTTAAGAATTAAGATTCATAAGAAAATTCAAATAGGAAAACATTGAAATTTTCACGAGTATTTCTAGTTACTTATATTAATATATAAATAAAAGGGTGTGATGTGATGAAAAATTCTTTCTCTCCAATCGTCCCTTATGAAAAATTCAGATATTTGATAAAATTAGGGGAAAGGGACTAAGAGAACTTTTCAGCACCTTCTTTTTCCTTTTTTTGTATTTTTGTCACAGCTAAGTCTGATATAAGGCTGTGCTAAATTATATTTGAAAGTTTGAAGTGATAAACTGAACATTGCATAAATATTGTACTGAACTTTAGATTCAAATATGATTAGGAATGGAGACAAACTTATAATTTATGTGTCCATTGATTGATTGCAATATTGTTTTTTATGACTTATCAACCTTTTAAAGCCAGAAAATATTTTTAGATCATAAGAATTTGGTGGGGAGGGGTTGGATAATAATGACTTAATGATACAATTCTTACAAATTAACCCATAGCTGGTGGGAGAAGAGGTGGATTCATACATCTTTCCAAGTGTATTTTGCCATAACTGAATATAATAAACCCAACTAGAATTGGAACTTGGCTCTCCAGTTTTCAATACAGAGTTGTCATCCATTGTACCACCTACACATCCAAGCTTACAGCAACAGTTATTCCCAAGCAAAAACCCATCTAGATACTGACCTATGTTGCTTAACTTTGGTGGATGTACAAGAAACAGTGTTTCAATATATGTCTATAAGCCTATGTGTCCATAGAAGTATGTCCATGCGTTCTTTTTGTTTGGTAAAATAGAAAAAAAAATGAAACTTAGAATTAGCATCAGAAAGAGATGGTTGATATTTCTCGGACACATAATGAGGAAAGAGGGCTTCGCAAGACGGGCAGCAGAAAGCAGTGTATAACATAGCTTAGGAGCTTGTGTAAATGGTTGGCAGATTAAGGATTAAGAGATATAGGAAAAAGGCAAGCTTTACAGGAAGTTGTGGATAACCATGATTGCCTAAGTCCTGAAGAGTCACCGCATATAGATATCAAGGTGTGTTTGTATATATTTATATCTCTTAGTGTATTTCTATATGCATATGCTAATCAACATATAAGAAATGCTCTATATATGTGTGTCAGTGTTTTTCTGTGTATGAAGAACTCTATAAATTATTGTGAGTACAAACAACAGAATGAAATCAACTCCAACAAAGTTATCTCCCTTTGGTAACAAAAAAAAAAACTACCAGAAACTGTAGTTACTAAACACTAGAAAACACTATCAAAAAGATGGGAATTAAAGAAAATGAAGAAGGTATCTTTTTATAAATAATACATAAATATATAAATAAAGCTCCTTGTGGTTGGAGTTGGTCATCAGTGGCCAGAGTAAAATGAAAATTGCTTTCTGAATTCTTCTTTATTATTCATGGTGCTAAACAGAGACAGACATATCAATTTTCCTTCGAATTCTCTTTTCCCTCATCTTTCTCTTGTCTTCTTGGCTTTTGATTTGTTAGCACTCTTTTTTCCACAACATTAACTTTTTTCTTTCTTTTTTGATTTCTTAATCTCCATTCTTCCCCCTGAATAATGTTTCTTCGTTCACTGCTTTCCATATTCTCATTATATTTTCAGAAAACTTTCTCTCTCTCTCTCTCACCTTTTGAATTCTCCACACTCACTTTCTATTCTTTTACATTTCACCATTTTTGTTTCCTGTTCCATTCTTACTGGTTTACTTCCAAACCAATAATGTCTTGACACACATCATCTGCCGAGCCAAAATATGAACTTGTTCATCCTCTATTTTTTTTCCTACTTTTTTCTTTTGTCTTCTTCTCATTTGTTTTTTTGTCATCTTTACTCTTTTATTTTGTGTATTCTTGTCCTTTGATTTTTTTTATTATTATTAAAAATATTCTTCATTATTCTTTTATATTTATTTTCAAAACTCTTTTATAATCTTTTATTCATTTTTTCCGAGCATTGTTTCTGGTAGTTCTAACATATGAATAAGGTTCACCTTAAGAGGACCTGCTTTCTGAAATAATTTTTTCTTCTTTTTAGACCTTTTTTCTTCTTTTCTTTTTCACCCTTCTCCTCTCCTCTTTCTCTCTCCTCTCACTCTTTCTCTTTCTCCCTCTCTTTCCTCTCTCTCACTCTCTCTTTTTTACTCTCTCTCTCTCACTCTCTCTCTCTCTCTCTCACTCACTCTTTCACTCTCTCTCTCTCTCTCTTTCACTCTCTCTCTCTTTCACTCTCTCTCTCTCTCTTCTCTCTTTCACTCTCTCTTTCACTCTCTCTCTCTCTTTCACTATCTCTCATTCTCTCTCTTTCACTATCTCTCATTCTCTCTCTTTCACTATCTCTCATTCTCTCTTCCACTCTCTCTCATTCTCTCTCTTTCCTCCTTTTTCTCTCTCTCTTTCTCCTTTTCCTCTCTCTCTCCTTTTTCCTCTCTCTCTTTTTCCTCTCTCTCTCCTTTTTTCTCTCTCTTTCCTCCTTTTCCAGACTCTCTCCTTTTTCACTCTCTCTTTCTCCTTTTCTCTCTCACCCTCTCCCTCACTCTCTCTCATTCACCCTCTCCTCACCCCTCCCCTCACCCTCTCCTCTCCCTTCTTTCCCTCTCCCTTTCCCTCTCCCTCTCATTCCCTCTCCCCCCTTTCCCTATCTCTCCTTTCTCTCTTTCTTTTCCCTCTCCCTCTCTCACTCTCTCTCTTTCTCCTTTCTCCCAATACTCTCTCTTTCCCACTCCTTTTCTCCCTCTCTCTCTCTCTCTCTCTCTTTTCAGTCTCTCTTCTTTTTCCTTTCCTCAAACTCAACTTACATGGGTTCTTTTTTAAAACACTTGCTTTCTCTCAGATCTTATTCCCTCTTATATTTTTAATAATAATTACTATTCTTTTATGCAATAATAATTACTATTATTAATATGGTTATTCTAATTTTATTCTCAATTCCACACCTTTACCTACTCTAAACTCTTCATTTCCCTCTTCTATAACAAAGTGGGATAGTGAAAGCAGATATCTTTTTTTCTCTCTTCCTCTTCTTCATTCTTCTCTTCCCACAACTCTTCTACTCTCAATGAACCAGCTACCAAGCCTGCCATGCAATTTCCTTCAGAAAAGTTTGATGTCTTCATGCCACCATATTGACATTTTGACAGTAAATTGAAGTTGAATGCCAGCTTCAATCAGCTTCTTCTCTTGTAAAGACAGCAGACATTTTGGAAATGTTTTTACTTTGTGCGCAAGCAACTGAAAATAACAACCATTTTAAGACATGGCATTGCTTTATTATGATTCCTTTTTTTTTTCTTTTCTTTTTCTTTTCTCGTCCTCTTTCCTTTGTTCTACTTACCTTTTTTTTTATTTTCATTATCGCTCTCATTTTCTCTCCTCTCATTATTTCACTTTATCTATCTTTCACCAAATCTTTATTTTTTTTTTTCTGTACTCTTTCCTTTTCCTTCTTTTTATTTACTTTTCTTTATCCTTTTCCTTACAATTATTTATATCAATCTTTAACTTATTCATATTTCTTTTGTCCTTCTTGTCCTCATTTCGTTTATAGTTTTTATTTTTTTTATTTTTATTACCTGCATTTTTTCTTCTATAGTGCTTTTCTGTTCTCATTTCACTTTATCTGTTATCTCTCTCCAATACTTTCTCTCTTTCTTTTTCTTCTTTTTCCCTCTTTCTTCCTCTATGGTCATTTTTTCCAGTTTTCTCTTATTTTCATTATTTTTTTTATTTATTTTTCTCACACGGTTTTTCAATTTTCATTATTTCACTTTATGAGCTTCTCCAATTTTTTGTCATTTTTTTCTTTTATTCTTTTCCCTCTTTTTTGCTTTTCACTCTTTTCCTTTTCTTCTTCTTTTTTTTCTTCTTTTGCTTTTCCTTTTTTTCTTCTCTTTTTTTCCTTTTTTTTTTGTTTTTTTTCTTTTGCTTTTTTTTTCTTCTTTTGCTTTTATGATTTCTCTTTGCTTTTTTTTAAAACTTTTTTCTTTTCTTTTTTTTTTAATTTTTCTTATTTTGCTTTTTCTTTTTTTTTAAATTTCAATTCCTTCTCTTTTGCTTTTTCCTTTTTTTTCTCTAAACTCTTTTTCTTCTCTCTTTTCCTTTTTCTTTTCTTTCTTTTTGTCTTTTTCTTCTCTTTTGTTTTTTCCTTTTTCTTCTTTTTTTTTTCTTTTTCTTTTTTTTTTCCTTTTTCTTCAATTTTTCCTTTTTTCTCTTTTTTCTTTTTTCTTTGAATTTTGCTTTTTTCTTTTTCTTCCCTTTTTCTTTTTTTCTTCTCTTTGCAATTTTCTTTTTCCATCTTTTTGCCTTTTCTTTTCTTTTTTTTTTTTCTTCTTTTTCCTTCTCTTTGAAAAGTTTTTTGTTTCTTTTTTTTTCTCTTTATTTTTCATTTTCTTCTTTTCTTTTTTTTTTTTTTTTCCTTTTTCTTCTTTTTTTTTTTTTTCAAATTTTTTTTTCTTTTTTGAATTTTTTTGTTTTTTTTTTTTCAGACATTTTTGCTTTTTCCTTTTCTTCTCTTTTCTTTTTCTTTTTCTTTGCTTTTTCTTTTTTTTTTGTTTTTTTCCTTTTTCATCTCTTTGCTTTTCCTTTTCATCTCTTTTATTTTTTCTTTTTCATTCAACCATTTTTTCAAGACTCATTGGCATTGCTTTTTTTTTTTTTTCCTTTTTTTTTTTTTCTTTTTCTTTTTTCCTTTTTCTTTGTCCTTTTTCCTTTGCTTTTCTTTTTATTTTTTTTTATTTTTCATTATTTTTTTTTTTCTCTTTTTCTTCTCTTTTCATTTCTTTTTTTTTCATCCCATTTTTTTTTTTTCTTCTCTATTTCTTTTTCTTCTCTTTGTTTTTCTTTTTCTTCTTTTTTTTTTTCTTTTTCTTCTTTTGTTTTTTCCTTTTCTTTCTTTTTTATTTTTAATTTCTTTTTATTCTTTTTCCTTTTCTCATTTATTTTTCTTCTATCAATTTCTTTTGTTTTTTCTTTTTCTTCATTGCTTTTTTTTCTTTTTCCTTTTTTTTTCTTCTTTTTGCTTTTTCATTTTCTGTTTTTAGTTTTATTTTTTTTTTTTTTTTTTTTTCTTTTTTCTTCTCATTTTTTTCCTTTTCTTCTATAGTTTTCTTTTCTTCTTTCTTTTCCTTTTCTTCTTTTTTTTTTCTTTATCTCTTTATCTCTCTTTCTTCTCTACTTTTTTGACTCTTTTTTTGCCAGCTTCTTTTCTTCTTTTCTTTTCCTTTTCTTCTCTTCTTTTGTTTTTTTTTTTCTTCTTTTTTTTTTTTCTTTTTTTTCATTATTTTTTTATTTTTTTTTCTTCCTCTTTTCTTTTTTATTCTTTTTTTTTTTTTCATCTTTTGCTTTTTCTTTTTTTCTTTATTTTTTTCTTTTTCATTTTTCAATTTCCTTTTTTTTTTCTTTTTTTTCTTTTTTAGGCTTTTCTTCTCTTTTTTTTCCTTTTTTTTCTATTTGTGCTTTTCATTTTCTTCTTTTCTTTTTTCTTTTCTTTTTTTTTTCTTCTTTTGCTTTTTTTCTTCCTTTTTTCTTCTTCTCTTTGCTTTTTCTTTTTTCTTCTCTTTGCTTTTTCCTTTTTCTTCTCTTTGCTTTTTCTTTTTTCTTCTATTTGCTTTTTCCTTTTTCTTCTCTTTGCTTTTTCTTTTTCTTCTCTTTGCTTTTTCCTTTTTCTTCTCTTTGCTTTTTCTTTTTTGCTTTTTCCTTTTTCTTCTCTTTGCTTTTTCCTTTTTCTTCTCTTTGCTTTTTCTTTTTTCTTCTCTTTGCTTTTTCTTTTTTCTTCTTTGCTTTTTCCTTTTTCTTGTCTTTGCTTTTTTCTCTACTTTTCCTTTTCTTTCTTTTCCTTTTCATTTTGTTTTTTAATTTAATCTTTATCATATTTTACTTGTTTTCTATTTCTTTCTTTTATTCAAAAAGGAAATTACACACACACACACTGAACTTAAAAGAAATATTATTATGGTTTTTGTTTTTGTTACTTTCTTTCAGTAACTCTTCAGCTTTTTCTTGTCTTGTTTTAGTTTTTTTGTAGCTATTTTCAATTGCTGGAAAGATGATAGAAATAATTTACTTTTTTGGTTCACTTGTCTTTCATCTTTCTCTATCATGGAAAGAGTCATGCAAACAACTCTTAAAACTCATTTATATATTTATACCTATATTCCTGATATTTACTTGATATTCACTACACTTGTCAATTAGTCTACAATATTAATCAAGGCTGTTAACAAGTCCAGTAAGAAAGCAACTACTTATACCTATATATTTAAATACCAAAGTCTGGCTCGGTTGCTTCATTAGGCTAATTTTCATTTCTTATTTATCACAGTGACTTTTCTGCATTATATTTTGCAATTTTCTTTTTAATTTGACTATTTAATCTGCAAGATTAGGATAAAATTAAATGATGAAACAATAAGTATATACTGTATATCATAAAATTAAACAATCAGACTTAGCAAAATAATTATCTAGAAGTCATTAAAAATGGAGGAGTTTTTGTCAATTTAGTAATTTTTAGTGAAGTAAAAAGGAAATAAGTATGAACATTAAGCAAGTCAAGGAAAGCTATTCAAAATGGTAAAGAAAAACTAGAAAGGAATTCTTCATCAGTGAGTTTTTCTTTTTTCTTGTCTTTCCTTTTTCTTCTCTTTGCTTTTTCATACCAGGCCCACTTTGTTAGTTTTTAGAGGAGAGACATTAGGACACAGACATGTAACATATGACAAAAAATTTATTGCCTATATATATATATATATATATATATACGAGGGTCATTCAATAAATAAGGTGAATCTTTCGGTATAAGAACTTCTAATACAGATAGAAGCTTACTTTTTTTTATTTTTCAACATAGTCTGCCAGCACTGTCACACACTTTTCCCATCTGTGCACAAGCTTCTGTATTCCCTCAGCGTAAAAATCTTTGGACTGATGTCTCAGCCAGTCGCTCACAACACTTTTGACTTCATCATCACTTTTAAACTTCGTGCCTCTTGTGAATGCTTTCAAGGGACTAAACATGTGAAAGTCTGAAGGGGCAAGGTCTGGGCTGTGAGGGGGATGAGGGAGCAGTTCCCAGCCCAGCTCGTTGATGGTCTGCACCGTTTGTGAGTCCTTGCATTGTCATGATGCAAGATGACTCCTTCTGACTGATGACCCCTGCGTTTATTCTTTATTTCTTTCTTGACCTTCACAGTAGTTCTTCTGTCAGACGGAATGAGGTCATTGACTGATTCGATCACCTCAGGAGACCTCACTTCTGTAGGCCTTCCAAGCCTGTCTTCATCCTCAACACGGCTCTGTCCTTCTTTAAACAATTTAGCCCAAATGTAGACATTTTTTTGGCTGAAACATGTGGCACCATACACAGTTGACATTCTCCTATGAATTTCAACTGGTTTGCACCCTTCAGCAACCAAAAACTTGATAACTGACCGCTGTTCAATCCTGGAGCATGCTTCTTGGTCAGCCATCTTTGTTAAACTCTCAAAGTTTTTTTTTAATCTGCAAAAGACATTAAATCCATGTGAAAAAGAAGTAAAACAAAAAAAAATTTTAAAAAAGTAAGCTTCTATCTGTATTAGAAGTCCTTATACCGAAAAATTCACCTTATTTATTGAATGACCCTCGTATATATATTTCATGGTAACTTGTAAAATGGAGGTCTATGACTATAACATAAATTCTGTATATGGTAATAAATTTATACAATGACTCCTGTAAAAACAATAGTACTTCCAACAAAAATTTCATCAGATGGTGACACAGGAGTTATGCAGGATTTTGAGGCCAAACCATCATTACCATTTACCAAGGACACC